GAACTTCAGTCCACATTTATGTAGTCCAACATCCGTCTGTGCCACTCTCTAAGCTGCAACTGTCCAGGAGCTCGTTCTCCAGCTTTTCAGACATCCCTGCTCCTAGGGAGTCAATGTCTGGGGAAGAGGCAGGATGATAGCAGACGCTTTTAACTATGTCAGTCACCCGTCTGAGTTTCTCAAACATTTTACCATCTTATATTTTCAGTCTCACAGAGTTGGGCAGCCTGTGAGGGGGGTGACAGTGAGTGGGGTGGTGTGTGTGCTGTCAAGGGAGATTACAGTTCAGGAGGAAAAGACAAAAACTGACAAGAGAACCAGAAATTTGAAATGTTTTATATTTAATATTTGTAATAATTATTTCACAGTCTAAACCAAATGCAATTAAAAAAAAAGTCATTACTCACCTGATTAAAATTAATACTAAGGATAAAATAATTCAAGTTCTTGCAACCAGGATAATTCTAGTAAAGTCACTTTGATCTACACAAGTAAAAAGCAGTATTATAATGCTATTCTATAGAAATCCTACATTCCAAAGTTCTCAAGAAAATTCATGCTTTAAAAGTCTTTTCACTTCTACTGTTAAATAACTGTTTGCACACTCCGTAAGAAAGACCTTTCAGATTATCGCTCCTGGGAAAAGTGAGTGTATCATACCACTGTAACTAAAAACTTGCATCAAGTTACTTGATGTATCTTACATATAAAAAAAGACATTTTTGAAAGTAGTGTCCATATGTCACGTTCCTTTAACTCCAGTTACAAATGTTCGTTTGAGATGTTATAGAGTTCTTTAAGCTTGTCAAACTTCGACCCCCACTCTTGGAGGCAATCATAATTTAGATCTTCATCACCACTACTGGAATCTAAGGAACTAAGGCTCCCTGCTAGAGAGCACTGCCCTTCTAAGCAGTAAAAATGAATAGTGTCAGCTGGAAGACTTTGTAGATCATTGTCTGCATCCCAAATGATTTGAGAAATGTATTCCTTGAGGTCTGGGATGCTGTTAACAGCTGATGTTGACTGTTTCTGATGTGCATGTTTTGTGAGTGAGTCTCTTTTTGGGCCAGTGCGTGTCCTGAAGTGTGAAGCAGCTGCCCTCAAAGAGAAGTGGGGAATGGTATGAAGAGGTTTCTTCAGTTTATCTATATCGTAAGCATTCTGGAAAACCAAAAATAATGCAAATATCAGAGACAAACAACACAAAAGGAAACAGGTTCCAAAAACTGTTTTAAAATTCAGTGCAACACAAAGCTTCATTCTTTGAGTTTTCTACGAACTGAAAAGAGGCCCTAGTTCAAAGAGCTAAGTTCAGATCACACCAAATTCCTTCGCATAATGATAGTCTTAAGCTAATGCAAGTGTGCTGTGTCCAGAGCAGCCCCCTCAGAGGTGGCCACAGACAATCAGCATTGTGAAAGGTACAGATTGAGTTGCAGTAAGAGCCTCCCACTCAAGAGTACTTCAGGTTCAAAAAAACCCAAAACCCCAAAACAATTGGATAAGGACAATAAGTTAAATAAAAGGTCTGGGAAATGAAGGGGAGGGGAGGTTGCATTTGCAAAGACTGGATTGAAACTGCATCATACCTGGTCACGTTCTCCACCTCCTTCTTCATTATAATTGAAAACATTTTCCCTAACATCCTCCCAGCTTTCACGCTCTTCAGGAATGTGGTAAATTCCTCCTTTCCGAAACCCTGAACTTCCCCACTGACTCCATACTGTGTAGGAGACCAAGAGTGCTGCAAGAAATAAAAACACGTATTTGTTATATGTCATTTGACAAAGTATGATGCACGATTAACAAGTAGTTATATGACTCCAGAGATATTAAATCAACTCTTAATTTGACAACCAAATTCCAAGGTAAGAAATGCATAACTGTTAATATATAAACAACTTACATTCATGAATATAAAGAATCATCTATGTATATTACATTATAAACTTCATTAAAAGGGTATTTTACTTACCTAAAGGAATCCATTTAAATAGAAGGCATTTTGGCCAGTCTCTGGCCTTTCACCAATCCTGAGTAAATAAGATACCCAAAGTAAGTAAAACACTGTTTTAATGAAGGTTACAAGTGTAATATAATCATGGAGTCTTTACTATTCTGTGTATGCAGTTTATCAATACAAAAATAATTTTATCATGTTACTAACTTTTCAGCCAAAGTACACCTGAAACTGGACACACTGTGAACATCTCTTTCTGCCCCACACTCTTAATGAGGTTTCCCTGTTAAGATTATAAAATTTATGGAGGAAGATCTCTTCCTTCCTAATATCTGAATAGCAGGTACCAGCTGTAGGCCCTACCTGTCACAAATGTAAAGGCTTGGGACAGGTGGAAGTTTCAGATGGATGTGGCTGCACACAAATTTACACACATAGAGGGAAAGCTCTTACTTAAAAAGGGTTGAAAATAAGTTGTTCTGAAAGGGAGAAGTCCTATATTAGCTTGAACTGGGTTCAAAGCAAGAAAACTGTAACTATGTGCTGGTGCTTGTCTTTAGTATCCTCAAATAAACTCCCAACTGGTGATCTCCAGAAAAAGTGAAACACTGATCACAACATCCAAGGGTAAAGCAGACTTGATTCAGTAGAGCAAGGTACAAGATTTAAAAGAGAGAAAAAAGGTACTTGCTTTCCTACCTAGGAAGACAAGGAGGCACATGCTGATTGCCAGAATAGATCCAGAGCTGAGTCCAACAGGTCTTCCAGCCTTCACCTGGCTAATTTCACACCATCGTCCCTTGTAACCTTCAGGGCACTGGCAGATAATCTTTTCTTGGGATTGAGCTACACAGGTACCCCCATTCCTACAGGTCCAGTGTCCACAAGGTGACGAGGTACAGTGTCTGAGCCCTGTAAGGTTGTCAGTCATTTCTACTTTCCCAGCTGGACACCTGAACAACAAAAGCAGAAGGTATCTTCTAGGCAAGCAAAGCACTTACAGTTGTATGTTGTTTTGTGCAAAGTTTGTTATGATTTCTTTAAACCAAATAATTAAAGTCCTTTCAAGCAAACCAAAAATCCACATTGAGAGTATGAACTACATGTAAAGTCTGACATAGTCAGCTAGTAGGCTTATGAAAACATGCACACTTCTCTTCCTTATTGGCCTGTGATCTTCTCAACATGACAAAAATGGTGGAGTAATAGATTCCATGTCAGATTTGCAGGAAAAGGCAAGCTTGGTCCATGATGGGAGATGAGATGGAGGGAATGATTTGTCCCTGGGATGTCCCTCTCTGGCCAGCAGTAACAGGCAGTTTTACTGTTAGAGGCAAGTTGCCTGAACTAAGGTGGAAAGAAAGAACTTCCCAGCCACCCCTGGATAAAAACAAAAGCTTAATGTACCGGCATTCATATTTTCTCCACAGGTCTACACAAAGGAAAGGGCTGTAACAGGGCTGGCTGCTGCAGGCACTGGAATGACATCCCATCGTGACACCTTGCCGCCTCAGAATTAAGCCAAACTGTGTGTTTTTGCCTTCCACGAGCAGCGGCTGACCGTTCAGCTGGACATCACGCATACAACCTGCATCAAAGCAGGGGAGTATACAGAGAAATATATTGAGTTAGCAACTTCCCCACCTCAAGCTTAGCCCCCAGCACATATGTTGGGAGACCTTAAAGCACTGCAGAAAATGTAAAACATTTTTTAAAACGATCTTTGTATTGCTTATCCATTCTGTTTTAGAGAAGAGCTACAGGATGTGTGCTTGTGTGCTCTGGCCAATCTACAGATCAACAATACTCCTTCAGGACAGCTTGGTACCAATGCAATGAATTAGCAGAACCATGCTATGAACCAGAACAGCTCCACTAAATCAATCTAGATTTAAAGTACAATCTTAATAGCGGGGCTGAATGAGAAGCAACAGAATGGAAAAAGCTGTCTTCTTCTTGAGCCACAATCTCAAAGTCCCAGCACCCCACCCCAGCAAATGAATTGCCTTGCAAATCCTTCGTCTCCTACCGGAAGGTGTTGAGTCTGTTCCTTCAGCCCTTTTGAGGCAAAAAGGGAGTGAAGATCACAATATGAGTTCCCTGCTTGGGGCCTTTGGCATGGGAAATAAAAATCTTAAGTGTTATTTTTTAATATCTACAGGAATACCTTCATTAGGACAATGGCAAATAGAGTTGAACATTGGCTCTAAATTCCCTAGTTGAAGAGAGGCATAGTACTCTCCATGGGAATTCTTACTGCATTTCAGACTCTCCAATACACTAAAAGATGCCTCTTTTAGGCTTTAATTCCTTCATTTTAGGAACCCGCCATATCACTTACCTTGGAAATTGCTCTCTGAATGATTGGGAAGACGGTTTCCTAGCACAATGCTTGCCCACTCCATCTCAAACCATCTATTCGTACCCAAGACTGAGGTCACTTCTTGATCACCTCCACCACTGTTAACACGCAGGGTAAATTCATTGTTGTAGCGCTCCATGGTCAGAAGAACCCACTGGCCATTGTTTATACGTAATGTCTTCATTCTCAGAGAGTGATTTTTGTCCCCTAAGCTGAAGTTAACATTAAAGAAACCCTCAACCACCTAGAGGAAAATGATAAAGACCTTTAAAAACAGAAATGCACTTCTAAATGTTACTACACAGTCCTGCCCAAGAAAAGGACCTGAGTTTTTAAAATTAAAATGGCTCTCTTGTGTTTAAGTGCTTTATTCCCAAATATAAGTTACTAAAAGAAAACTGCAGGTCTAGGAATTAACAACTCTTTTCTTTACAGGTCATTCTTATGACTCACATGAACCCTTTAATCAGTCTTCTCCCTACTGATGTCTACCTCTAAGTCTTTCCAGCTGACCCTCCTTTTACAATTTGAATAATTAGCCTCTGTTTAGCTAATATAATCCAGAGAGATTTTTTTTCAACAGCAACAAAAGTGCAGAGACAAGTTTTATAGCTAGAGACATACAGAAGTAAAGGGAAAAGGCAAACAGGACAAAACAATCTTCTCCATTCATGTGCATCACATGCACTTACCTGTACATTTTGTAGGCAGTGGAACAACTGGAATCTATGCTATCAAAGGGTAATACTGAGAAGGACAACACAAATGAGGGTAGTCACCCTCATATGGAAAATTTTTGCTCTTTATTATATTACAGAATGTAAAAGGTGTCCTTAATTGTAAACTATCTTCTTCTCTTACTAGGGTATCCATGAAAAATTAAGAGCACTGAAACAGAAGGGCTTTTGGACTGCTCACCTCCAGTCGGATGTATCCATTCCCATTTGCAGAAGCCAAGCTGAGAAGGGTGCTGTGGGAGATACGGGTACGCACCATCAGCTGAATCCGAGTGCTGTGAGTGCTGAGGATGCTTCTTGGCTCATAATGGATCCAACTGTCCCTTCCAAAAGCCCATTCGGGAAGAACTAAGCACAACACACACAAAACCAGAGTGAAAATCTCAGAAATTACTGCTCCCTCAGATCTCTACTGCTTGAGAATTAACCAGTTCTGAACGTCAGAGTTTTAGTTCTTAAGAAACTTTGGCAAAGTAACGAAGTATAATGGAAAACACCCCTCACACTTCTAAGGGAATTAAGACAAAAAGAGGCTGTGGTTGCCCCATCCCTTAGAAGTGTTCAAGGCCAGGTTGGGCGGAGCCTTGGGCTACATGGTCTAAGGTGAGGTGCCCCTGCCCACGGCAGGTGGTTGGAACTCAATGATCTTAAGGTCTTTTCCAACCCAAACCAGTCTGTGATTCTGTGATTCTGTGATACAGACTTTAGGCACAAAAGGGACAATTAAATACAGTCTCTAGCATTCTGCCTGTCACAAGCAGAATCATGTCAGTATTTCATATTTTAACTAGGGAAAATGCACTGAAATTAATTCTTTTCCCATTAATCCGGGGAATCCATATAAAAGTCACCCAGCAGAGAGTATGACCAAGTTGCGCTGCACACTTCTGTGGAAATCAAAAACCACTAAACACCCAGACCCTGGTGCTCTACGCAGCAGACACCCATTTCAGTCTCACTACCTGACAGCAAACCTAGATCTGCTTGTTCTGAGCACAGCTTAGTTGAAAAAGGAAGTTTCTTCCTACCAAATAAAGACATAGTCCAAGTTAGTTACTAGACAGAAAGAACATTGAGTCACCAACAGCTAATCTGAGGTCAGTGTCATGCATTAGAAATCCAAAGAGTGCCCAGCTCATCCTTGGGCATTTAGTCTGGTTCCCAGGATAGGAAATATCAAATCACTTCATTTCTGCAGTCTCTTTTCCTCTCACTGCTTCTCCTCTCCTTTCTTGAAGTGTGTTTTCTTTTCTTCTCTAGCTTATTCCCCTCACAGTATTCTTCCTAACCCACAGTTCTTTCTTGTTCACAATCTCTGCAGCTACAGGCTCTAGCTGATGAACAGTTTTTCTTGCGACACTGTCCCCAGTTGTCTGCTCCTTGCTGTGAGCATGGCTCCACTATTCATAAAGCAGCAGCTGAACACCAGCATTTTGCAGCCCAATATATTAGAAGAAGCTGGAAACAATCTTAGTTTTCCTACTACACCAGGATATGACTTAAGGATTTTGAGTAATTACTTTCTGAGCACTTGGTTTGTCCCACAGTGGTGTGGGGTAGGAGCCAATACAGCACTTGGGTTTGTGAGCCAGCATCCCAAGATAATGCAAAACAGAGTAAGATTTAAATCTAGGCAGATGTTTATAAACCAGTATCATCTGTCTGCAAAATGTGAATACAAGTAACTGAACTGTATTAACCACTTATGTGGTTATCAGAAATGCTTTGAACAGTGAACACTCCAGGCCTAGAATGTATCTATTACAATTCTCTGTACACCCCGGTCGACAGAGAGAGCTTCTACTGAGTAATTTTTTAAGTCTTGTGTGGCAGATGGAGAAGGAAATAGACGGTCTGGCTGCCCACATATGTTATTATTGTTCCATATACAAGAAGGAAAAGTGAGTGCATTGAGCTGAAGACATACGTGTAATACACCACCAGTCCTGTTTATTAATCACAACATACTGATTCAATGCTAGCTTGCATGTGCTTACTGCTGCTCATCCTCACCTGTAGCTCATTCAAACTACAGGACTGAGGGGCTAATTCTCTTCTAATGCTACACAAAGCCCCCGAAGTTATGGGAAACTGGTGCTCATTACAGACTGTTAGATCAACCTCATAATTTGCACCTCATACCTAGAGGGAGAAGGCAGATACATGGCAGGTAAAGTCCCAGTAAATGCCTGTTATCACTTCCAATTTCTGCTTCATAAATCGGTGCTGAAGGGAGGACAGAGCCAACTTCAAGTGTGTTCCCCCTCTACCTGAACATAGCTGTGGGCCATATTAAAGGAGTTAAAGAATTTATTTCCTAAATTTTAGAATTGAGCTAAGATTCTGCATTTTCTTACTCTGTCTCTGAGTTTTTAACTACCCACCCTCGCATGCTTTTGTTCTCTGATACATACTTCATGCTGATTTTGTACAGGGTAACACATTTGCTGAAGCCAGCCTGATAATTATGTCCCCACATGAACCCACTGCTGGTATTTAGGGGCACTGCACAACCTCCAGTTCATTCCAGTGACAGACACAAACATAATTATCAGAATTTTATAGACTGAAAATTGGGTCTGAGGATAACTGGAGGGTTATGCCCCCAGGTTTCGTGGAGAGAACATACCAAGCTGGCAACCTCATCACTCTGACAACCACTGCAAGCTGGCAAATAATACCATGTTCATTAAACTACGTTTTGTGATTGGTATGATCAGAGGAAGAAGGCACACTGCAGTATGTTTCATCTTTCATCCCTGAGAAATAAAATGCTGTGATGAAAAGGACAAAACAACCCATCTGACCACTTGCCTCTCCTGCAGTGTAAAGCAGGTATCAACAAGACCCCATCTGTGACCTTAACTTTATTCAGCAAGAATTAGAAGGATCCTTACACTGCTGCAGATCTAAATCATTCCCAGAGTACTGCATGATCTTATTACACTACTCTGTTCAAAGTTGTTGCAAATTTAGAGCAGCATGTTTGCTGCTGTTCCCACAGATCCTCACCCTGAATTTCTGCCTAGAACTTGCAGTACCTTTTTCACATGCTGGTCCAGCATATCCTGGGGAACAGTCACAGCGAAAGAAATCCCAACCACCAACACACTTGCCGTGCGCCCCACAGGAGGCCGTCCCACCACTCTGACACATTTCATCCGTGAGGACACAGCCAGGAGTGCTGTTCAAGGACTCTGCAGGGTGCTCTAAATCATAGACCTGGAAAAGGACAAAGAGAATCATCACATCAGGTGTCTACAGTTAACAGCAGTAAACCCAAAACTGGTCTTAGTAGCCCTACCTTACTATCGACAATGACATTGCGTATGCAGCCAACAAACCCTCTGAAGTGCCTTTGTGAACTGTGGTAAGACAGAGTCTTCTTAACTCCACCCAGCTGCAGGGGTTGATGGCCACTGAAGAGCCTACCCATGCTGAAGGGAAAGGAGGGAAAGAAAGAATCAGCGGCATGCAAAATTCAGCAAGTTGCCCAATTCCCCCCCCCCCCCCTTTTCCTTAGCTCTTTTGAGGAATTATGTTTCCAGTT